GTGCACGCACGCGGTCAGCTTCTGTGGGCCTGCGTCTAAGCGCGGTCGCTCGTGCACGCGGGGCCGCGGAGGGCGCACGTGCACGCAGACCTCTTGCTCGCTCATAGACGTGCGATGCCTCGAGTTTGTTGCTCGTGCTGGGTCCCTGGGTTCCCCGGAAGTCCGGGCCCCTTTCCCAGGGCTGGTGTCCCACCCCGAGCTGCTCTGTCGGCAGCCCCTGGCGCTGGGCCCCCCCCCCTGGCACCTGGAGCGCGCTGGGGCAGGAGGCCCGCGCGGGCGCTGCGAGGGCTTGTGCCTGCGCCGGTGTTTGCTCTTCTGGCCAGAGCCGCAGGAGTCGGGGAGCGCGTCCCGACCGGCCCCCCGGGCACGCCGACCCCTCCTGTGGTGACTGTACAGTGGGGGCCCCTGCCAAGAAGCACCCTGCTGGCCTCCAGGGTGCCCTGGGCCTCTTGGGTTTTCATGGGCTCTGCGGTGGAAGGCATGGCGCTCCCGCACCGAGCATCCATGCACGTCCTGAGGTCTCAGGGTTTTTTTTGCAATCCTTCGTCCTGGGTTTTTTTTGCAATCCTGCAATCCTTCGTTTTTTTGCAATCGTTTGTTTGTTTTTTTGCAATCCTTCGTTGGAGGCCTCTTGTGGTCCGGCCTCCACTGTGTGCCTGCCTCGCCTCGCCCCCTCGCCTCGCTCCAGGGCGTGGGCGGGCGGCCCGAGGGCTGTCGAGCCTCGAGGGCGAGGGGCTCGCCGCGGGAGGGCGCTCTCGGGCGGGGCCGTAGGGACAACTCCGCTCCAGAGGGTCCCGGGGCTCCAGGCTTTAAGTCTTAAGTCAGGCATGTCCCTCGACAGGAGGAATATTCAAAAGTAGTCAAAAATTAGACTATTGTTCTGGTATGTCGTTGACAAATTCTGAATGTCTTTTGGTTATTATGAGTGCTTCCTACAAGTCCGCCTGTGGGAGGACATATCCGACCTAACTTCAGACCTCCCAGATGGGGTCCGAGTAGATGAGGTCGGAGGATCGCGGCGCAGCGCCGATGCATCGCCGATGCGGCTCGATGTGAAGCCCGATTTTCTCCGCCATAGCGTCGGCGAAGCTCCGCCGATGCATCGCCGATGCATCGCCGATGCATCGCTGATGCGTCGGCGATGCGGCGCGATCCTCCGACCGCATCTGCTCTCATCCTCCAGAGCCGCCAGATCTCAGGGATCCCCCACTTCTCCCTGTTCGACTTTGTCCCTGTCCTGGCTTCGCACCGGCCCCGACATGCGATGGCGTCTTGATCTTTCCAGTGCGGTCCCCCCAGACGCCCCGACTTCCCCAGGGGCCGTCTGCTCATCCCGAGTCGGTGTTGGACGGTCCCGGGGCCTCGCGAGGGCCCCCGGGGGCCCAGCACCTCCCCAAGACTTCCCGTCCCGACTGTAAGCCACGACGCGAGGACGAGTCCGGGGAGGGGCCTCGCCACCGCAAAAAAAGGTCGGCCTGGCCGCGCCCAAGGGGAGCGGCCCGACCGGCCCCCAGCACGCAGAGCCCTGCCGTGACGGCGGGCCCCTCGCCTCGCTCGGCGTGGGCAGGCGCTCCGAGGGCAGCCTCCGAGGGCGAGGGGCCCGTCACGAAGGGGCCCTGCCACCGGAGGGGTCGGCAGCCTGGAGGCGATGGTCAGTGCAAGCGGGCGTCAGCCAGAGCGCCGGATCCTGCAGGACCTGGCAAAGCTGGGCCTGCACCGACTCGGGCTGTAGCGCGCAGGATCCCGCAGGGTCCTGCGAAGCCTGACTGACACGCGCTTGCAGTGGTCCAGGTCAGCAGGTAGGGGCACGAAGAAAGACATAAACACAAAAACTCGGAGGTCCGTACGGATCTCTTGGATCCGCGCTGGACCCCCCTGGCGACGCCTTCGGCGCCGCCCTGGCGCGCTCCGCTCGCCAGGGAGGGGGCTCCAGCGCCGATCCGAGAAAGCCGCACGGACCTCCGAGTTTTTATGTTTGTGTCATTCTTCGTTCCCCCAAGTAGTAGAAGCCCGAAAGGGGTCGGTCCGGCCGCACCCCGAAGGAGCCCCTCGGCGAGTGGCTCCGCGCCAACGCCGCGGGCGCCGCTGGCGGGATGGCGGCCCTCTGGCGCGGCTGCGCCGCCGGCGCCCCGCAGGCCGCGACCGCGGGTGAGCGCGAGCTGCCCGACGACGTCGACATCCTGGTCGTGGTTGACCACCGCATGCGCTGGTACGCCGAGGACGCGCGGGAACGCCAGCCATTCGGTACGATCGAAACGGGCACGGAAAGTCACCACCCACCAAACCACCCCAACCCAGCCCGAAGGCTTCAATTTGCACTCCATTTCCAGTGGTGGGGGGGGGTCGGGGGACATAGAGAAAACACAGATGGAGCCCGTACCCCGCCTAACCCGAAAGTCGGGTCTTCGGTTTGGGTTGGGGTGGTCGGGTAGGCAGTCAGAGAGACTGGGCACGAACACCGCGTCAGCATGTCCTGTTCGTTTCGAACAGGACTTGCTGTCTGCGTCGCCGCGGACCTTGTCCATTTGAGAGAAGACCGCCTGCCCAATCGCGGCCGCCGCTGTCGTTTTGGCCGCGGACGCGCGGGGAACTCGACGACGAGCAAAACATGGCAGACACATAGTAGTTAGCTTGTCGGAGGTCCGCGCGGTTTTCCTGGGTCGGCGCCTGGGTCCCCCTGGCGGCGCCTCCAGCGCCGCCCCAGGCGCGCCCCGCGCATCAGGGAGGGGAGCCCAGATCAGATCCAAGAAATCTGCGCGGACCTCCGAAGGCTTATGTTCATGCCGCATGCGTTGGTACGCCGAGGACGCGTGGGGAACGCCAGCCGTGCACTGCAGTCGGACCGAAGTACAGGATCGAGGACGGTGCGGAGAGGGTAAAATCTTCTTCGCGTTTTGTTGGATGTGTTTGTGCACCTCGGGAGTGTACCCTTGGATGTTCTGTGTGTTTTGGCTGGCGGAGGGTCTCGTGTTCTTGAAGGCCTAGGTCTAACTGTGAACCAGTTCCCAGACGTGCTCGCGGTGAAAGAGCACGGCGCGGAAGGTTTTTGGCACGTCGCGGCCTCTGGGGGCCCCCACCGGCCTCGGGATTGTCAGCAAACAGTGCGGGATGAGAGACCGGCCTCCGGGGACGGGTCGGAACTCGGGGCTCAAGAGGCAGGTGTCGATGCAAACGGCGGTCGGAGCAGGAGAGGAGAAGGAGGGGAGGAGGAGAGGAGGAGGAGGATGACGGCTCCAGAGGTCCCAAGAGGCATCGGGAGGTTTCCGTGGAGGCCCCTGAAGGCTCCACGGGGCCAACAGCAGTCTCGATGTGGACGAAGGTCAAGCCGGATCGAGGTGTGCAGGGGCAAGTCGGGGCTCAAGCGACGGGGGTCAATACAAACGGGGGCCAGCCAGAGCGCCTGATGCGCCGATCCGGATTGGCGCGCAGGATCTTGCAGAGCTCGGCTGACCAGGGTTTGGATTGACCCGGGTCAGTAGATCCCCGAGGAACGCTTGGGGGGGCCCGTATTGAAAAGTCAAGGCGGCGCATGCCTGTTTGCCCTCTGGGAGCGCCAGCCTTCTTCTGGTCAAGGGCAACGTTGGGGGGCACAGGCTCAGGAGGGGATGCATCGACCCGCAGTCGCCCATTCATCGCCGATACTAGTAACTAGGGGCCTGATGGTCCGCCCCGCCTATGAACGAACGGACGGACTTGCCGTCGTGGGCAGATCGCCGATCCATCGGCGATGCATCGGCAGTTCCAGTTCCAGGTCGTCCACGCCATCGTCGCTCCAGTTCCAGGGAACCGCACCGGCTGAGAGGCTTCCCCCATGTCATTGCCCCTCGTGCCATCTGCCAGACCAGTTGGCCGACGCTTCGGCCGTGGACAAGCGCAGCGGGAGAGCGTGCGCCAACTGGTCTGGTGCACTGCGGGCGTCGTGCTGAGGACGCCCCAGCGCTGCGGCGGGTCTTGGCGGACCTGGTGTCCAAGACTGGCGGCGCGCACCAGGGGAAGGGGCGCGAGAGGGGGTCGGGTCGGCCTTCTGGGGGTCGAGCAAGAAAAGACTGCATAGGCATGAACTCTCGGAGCTCCGCGCGGATTGCTCGGATCGGCGTTGTGCCCCCCCTGGCGGCGCCTCCGGCGCCACCTCTGGCGTTCGCGCCAGGGGGGGGGGGTCCAGCGCTGATTCAAGTGATCCGTGCGGAGCGGTCCTCTGCAAGTTTTTGTTTTGTTTAGTGTGCGCGCGTGTGTGTGTGTGGTTATTCGGTGGCTGGCCTCTCAGACTCCCTGGGTTTGCCGTTTGCACGGTTACCTCAGGGGCTGTCCTTGCAGACTCCGTGGGATTGCACGACCGCTGGCCTCTCAGACGCCCTGGGTTGCCGCTGCCTCGCCGCCTGATCCGCGGCTTTGCGCGCGCCCGCTAGTTAGTCGCGGCCGCAGCCCGACCGTGACCGCTCGCCGCTGGCGCTTCCGCCTGCGGCTGTAAAAAAAAAAGTGTGTGTGTGCGTGTGTGCGTGTGCGTGTGCGTGTGTGTGTGTGTGTGTGTGTGTGTGTGTGTGTGTGTGTGTGCGTCACTGCTTGTTCCTCCCTGGTTGAGGCGGGATGACCTGTTTAGACGGCACGGGTTCTCGAAGGAGGGCCCGCCACCAGGCCTCGCAGAAGCCAGGGTTCCCAACCTGACAAGGGCGGGCCTCTCACGAGGCAGGGGTGGGGCTGGCTTCCGAGACGCCGGCTGCCCCCTCCGAAGCCTCCCCCCCGCCTTCGTCGAAGGCCGCGCCCCTCTCTCAGGAGGGGAAAAAACACACAGACACAATTGACCGTAGACTCGCAGGAAACTAGGGGAAAATATGGGAAGTGGGGGGGAAGACGACACTACAGAAAATATAGGAAAACATGGGGAATGCTGTTATTTGCTTCTATTTTTTTGTGTGTCCTTGGGCCCCTTCACTCTCGTTCTCCCCACCCCCCTGGCACGCGGCGCCGACAAGAGGGAGCGCGCGGTCTTCATCGGGGCCTCGATGGGGGGATTCGGCGCCCTGCTGCACGGGGGGGAGCTGGCCGACGCCGTGCTGGCCTTCGGGCCGCAGAGCCGGCTGGACCAGGCCATCCTCCGCCCGGCGGCGGCGACCCCTGGCCGCCTGGACGAGCTGACGTGCGCGGTGCAGGATTTACCCGGAGAAGCAATTAAGAACCCCCCCCTCCCCGCTCTCCGGCGAAAGTATAACGCACCGGGCACCCCAGAGACGTTACCCTGGCACCTCGCACCTTCATGTGAACGCAGACGAGTCTGCTCGCCGAAACAAGCACACCGCCTGAGACATTCTCGCAATATTTTGGCTCTTATTCGCCATTACGGATCAAGCCGATGGCCAAGATTTCAGTCAAGAGGCCTTGGCCCAGCTAGACAGAACAAAATCCTCGTCCTCCTCAAGGCTCCCTTACGGCACGGCACCAACACGAACAACGACAATAATGCCAGCAGTAAGACTTATATCTAGAACAGCAATGCCAATAACAACACCAAGAACAAGATGAACATCAAAACCCGAGCAACACCATCACCAGCAATAACAATATTAAGTCCCACGCAAGGGAGAACCCAGCTTTGAAAAGGAACCGTCCGTGCTTACGATGGGGGGCGAATCCTTTTGGCGGTGCGGGTGCTAAGAGAACGCGAAGTGCGTGGCAAGGGCGGTATCCTCGGATGCACCACCCCACACGACGGCCGGCAAAAAACAATGTTCCAACAGGGGTGGTAATACAAATCGTATAGGAGAAGGATGATGAAGATAATGAGACCAAGCTCTTTTTCTTATGTGTTAATGATTGGTATGATTATTCTTATTATTACTATGGTTATAATCGTGAGTAGTATTATTGATATTATTCTTAGTATTCCTATTACGTGTATGATTATTTCTCTTTTTACTTTCATTTTTCCCCGAATATGATTGTTATTGGTATTATTGTTAATATTTTTCTTAGTCGTATTACTCTTACTCTTACTCTTAATCCCTTTCTCAATAGTATTCTTTGTTCATGATCCTTCGTATCATTATTCTTATGCTTATTATTACTACTGATATTATTCATCGTAGCCTTTCGGTAAGTAGTATTAATCGTATCCTTATTATGATTATGTTTCGTAGTCTTAGTTTTACGATTGGTAATATTATTACTCTTACTCGTATCTTTTTTATTATTCTTATTATCTTCCTTAGTATTACTCTTATTCCCTTTATCATTAGTATTGCCATTCTCATTCGTATTAATAGTATTAATCTTACTCATTTTCTTCGTGTTATTAGTCGCAGTCTTACTCTTAGTTGTATTTTATGTTTATGATTGTGATTGTTGATCTTATTGTACGTCTTGTCTTTTTTGGCAAGCTGTCTTAATTAGTTTGTGCGGGTGCGGTGCTAAGATAACGCGCCGTGCGTGGCGGGGGCGATGTCCTCGGATGCACGACCCCACACGACGGCCGGGAAAAAACAATGTTCCAATTGGGGTGGTAATACAAATCGTATAGGACAAGGATGATGAAAATAATGAGAAATTGTTTCTTATTATGATTGTGGTGATTGTTATGTATTGTAGTATTATCCTTATGCTGACTATTTTCCTTATTTTTATCAGTATTAGTATTCGGATTATGGTCATTATTCTTAGTATTGTTCGTAGTCTTATTATTGGCACTATTCTTAGTATTATAAGTATCACTCCTACCATTAGTATTATTATTATTATTTTGTATCATGGTTGTTATTCTTATCTGTTTTCTTAGTCTCATTATTACTACTCGCATGTCATCATTATTCTTTGTTTTATCCCAATTCCAATTGAGATATCACCCGAGACAGGGCGCGGGAATGTTTTATTTTCGTTCATTTGCGTGGTGCTAACTATATCGTTCGGCGAAACCCGCCCCCCAGAAATATTTAATTACGGTGCGGTGCTAATGATAACCCCGGGGGGGTCTTTAATAGCTTCATGCGGCTTCGGGCCGACTAGACGTAAGAGTGACCTTTCGCCGGAGTGACCTTTGGTGCGGGCACAGATGGGTCCCCAGATGGCTGAAAACGAAGCAGGAGCAACGGCTTGCGCGCCGAGGTTTGGTCCCCACGCGGCCTCCCAAAGGCCGCGCACCAAAGGTCACTCTTACCCAGGGTCACTCTTGCGTGTGGCCGACTCGGGTCGGGCGACAGGCTTGGCATTGCTCGGACGGCCGCGCTTTTTCTCGTAGAGGGCCATCGGGGAGCATCCTGGATCTCAATTCGCGAAAGCAGATGAGCGCACGACGCAGGAGCATGCACGGGAAATGGGCGTCCGAGCGATGGCAAGAGAAGGGGGGGGGCGGTAGAGTCGGACCGGGGTATCAGATCGAGGCTGGTTCGGGGAGGGCACACTCGTGTTCTTCGTGCTTGCAGGATGTTCTTGTGCATCTTGGGGAGGGTACCCTTGGATGTTCTGTTTGTTTTGGCCGGCGGAGGCTCTCGTGTTCTTACGGGATGCTTCTCTGGCCCAGGTCCGACTGCGGTGAGAGGAGGGATCACGAAGTTTGCTTCGTGCAGCTGGTCTGGCCCCACCCGCCGGGCGCGTCCCCTGCGGCGCACGGGCGCCAGCCGGCGCTGGGAGGCGCCAGGGCGATCGGCCACACGAGTCGATTCGTTGAGCCCCACCTCAGCGACGCCGTTCGGCGAGTAAGCCCCCTCGTTTCCAGCGCAGCGTGCCGCGCGGGAGACGCTGTGAAAATTAGCTACGTGAGCTGATTCTCTACCCTACCCTTTGCTATCCCCCCCTTTCGTTCCCCCGAATTCTGCTACCCCCCCCCCCCCGTTCCTCCGACCCGAAGGACGCCGTGCGCCTGGGGCGGCGGCGGGGGGCCCGGCTGGAGGTGCACTGCGCGGCGGATGAGCATTTCTGGCGAGCGGGGGGCGGAGATCCCAGACATCCTCCTCTTCCTCCCTTTCCTCCTCCTCCTCCTCCATTTCCTCCTCCTCCTCCTCCCTTTCCTACTCCCTCCCACTCCCCCACACTACTCCGCCTCCCCCTCCTACTCCCTTCTCCTCCTGCTCCTCCTCCTCCTCCTCCTCCTCCTCCTTCTCCTGCTCTCCTCCTCCTCCTCCTCCTTCTCCCTCGTCGTTCTCCTCCTCCTCCTCCTCCTCCTCCTCCCTCCTCCTCCTCCTCCTCCTCCTCCTCCTCCTCCTCCCGAAGACCTCCTATCGGCCACGCGCAGAGGGGGTTATGGGGGTGGGAGGAAGGCTTCTTAGAAGCACCCCTGCTTCTTAGAAGGCGCGGGCCTCGTCTGTAGATGTGGGGCTGGCGCCTTCTAAGATGCGGCCTCATTCTAAAAAGCTTTCCCCCTCCCTGTATCCCCCTTGTGCGCGCCGCCAATCCTCGCTCCATGCCTCCCAGATGAGCGACGCAGAAAAACGGTGTCCACTGTGCCGACGTTCGCGTAAGCTGCCCGCGGAAGGTCGCGCGTAAGCGCCTTTAGCTCTAGTGTAGCATGCCTCGCTGGCGACCCGTGTAAGTAACCGCGTCAGGTCGCTGTGCCATCTCGCGTAAGGCCCGTGTCGTTTCGTCGCTCATACTGTGTCCGAGCAGATGGTGTCGGAGGATCGCGCCGCACCGCCGATGCATCGCCGATGCGATTCGATGTGGAGCCCGATGTTCTCTTCGCTGACGTCGCCGATGCATAGGCGATGCGGCGCGATTCTCCGACTCCGTTCACTCGGACCCCACCTGGGCATCTTGGAGGTTTCTAATCATGGCGAACTGTGTGTGTTACCATTCTCGTGCCTCCAGGGGATTTCGCCAGGCCACAGGTGCGTCAGAGAACAGCTTCGGGGAACCAAGGTGCCCCCGGGGAGGCGTCCAAACCTCCAGCTGCGAACAACTCGCGACGTCGGAGGGCTGGCCTCCAGGAGCGAACAGCGACACTAAACAAGACGCGCGGAGCTCGGGGCGCGCACTTCCCGGGTCGGCGCTGGACGCTCCCGGGCGGCACCTCGAGAGGTCCGCCCCGGGGCTCCAGAAGCCTTCGGGGGTGGACAGGCCTCGTGCCCGGACGCGTCGATGAAGGAGTTGGCCCTGTTCGGTTCGCGAGAGGGCGCCTCGGCCGTCATTCTTGCGGCTTCAGGTCCGTCGGCTTCCATCCCAGGCCGTCTTCTATCAGGGGAGGTCTGCCAAAGGGAGGCTTGTCCACCGCCGAAGCCTGTCCCTGTGCCTGTTCTCTGTCGGCCCCTCCGCGGCGCACCGCGCGGGCGGCGCCCCTGCGCGAGCTCTGCTCGCCGTCTGGGGTTTGGCGGCGGGGCCCGAGCGGCGAGCCGGTCCTGTGGTCGTCGGCCGGTTCTGCCCCCCGGCGGCTCCAGGCGTGGAGTCGCGATTCGCGACGGTGCCGTCTGGAACTACACCCTGGGCGATGCTTCAGAAAACTTTAGTGTTCGGCCAGAGTCTCGATGATTCTTGATGTTTCAATGTGAATCTTAAGATTTCAGCCGAAATCCAGGGCTTGTATTCAAATTCTGAGACTGAATTTCTGAACCCATGATTTCTTAAGCATTTCGCAGGGTGTAGCCATCCTCAGGCATTCCCAGGCGGCGCAGGCGCGAATACCCAGTGGCGCGACCAGGGGGGTGGGGGGTGGCAAGGGGGCGAGGGCGAGGCCGCTCACGGGCGTTCTCGCGAATGGCACGAGCATGGGGCTCTTGCCGGCCCCCCACAAAGGCACGGCCTCAACCTGCCCCTGGAGGACGGCGCGCTGACGGTGCACCCGATCTGCCCGCGCAAGCCCTTCGGGCGGCTGCTCGACTCGGGCGGCGTCCTCGCGCCCATCGTGGCAGACGCCCTCTGCCGCGCCGCCGCGCGGCCGCGCGCCGCCTCGGCGCCGGCGGCCTCCACCGCGGCGCCCGCGCTCGCCGCCGCCGCGCCCGCCGCGGTGCCCCCCGACGCGCCCTCGGAGCTTGGAGGGGAAAGAATCGGGCGGGGAGCGCAACATGGCGTAAACATAGTTGAGCTTTCGGAGCTCCACGCGGATTTGTCGGATCGGCGCTGGGTCCCCATGGCGGCCCCTCTGGCGCCGCCCCTGGCGCGCTCCGCGCGCCAGAGAGGGCGACCCGCCGATCTGTGAAAGCTGCGCGGACCTCCAAAAGTTCATGTGCATGCAACTTGTTGCTCCCCGAATCGGGCGGGGCTAGGGCAGGGATAGCTCGTTCCTGGGCTCCCCAGAACGCTCCCGGAGTGCTTCTGGAGCGCTCTCCGAAGGCCACGGCGTCGGACACATCTGCAAGATCCGCCAGACCTCAGAGATCCCCAACACATATCCCTGTCAGATGCTGTCCATGTCCTGGCTTCGTCCGACGGAAGTGGCACCAGCATGCGGTGGGCTCGGGCCGCGTCGACGCAGCGGCGGTCCCAGCGCTGGCGGTGAAGGCCGAGCGCCGCCAGCGTCGGGTCGCCGCGGCGGCGGCACGGGCGTGAACTTCTGGAGCTCCGCGCAGATGTCTGGGATCTTCGCTGGGACCACCCTCGGGGGCGGCCAAGGGGGGGGGTGATGACTAGGGGGGGCGTGAAAATTATGGCGTGGGCCATGACATTTCCTCAGGTTTCATGGCGCCTCTTCTGATTTTATTACGTCCCTGGCCACCCCTGGGGCCGCGCACATGCCGCCAGCCATGATTTGCGCACCCCCATCTTGGACGCCCCCCTTCTTGGCCGCCCTCGACACCCCTGGCGGCGCCTCGGAACGCGCCAGTGGGTGGTGTCCAGCACCGATCCAAGAACTACCCGCGCGGTCCTTCGGGAGCCGGATCAGGGGAGGGGAAAGCCGCCCAGTCTCCAATCCGCGTTCGCCAAGAAGCCTTGGGCGTTTCCTGGGCGGCCCTGGCGTGCTCGATCCCCTCCTCGGGTGCCCTTGCTGCGTGGCTCCGCCCGGCGGGGTGCTCGGACGGAGCGTGGCCTCTCTGCCCGCAGTGGCTGCCCGTGCCGGGAGGCGGCCAGGAGCGGCCAGCAGAGGCCCGTGAGCCCCCGTGGCCGGGCCAGGGGCTGCGGCCCGCAGGCCGAGGGGGGGGCTCCCCACCCGGCTCGGGCGGGTGGCAATTCAGGCGGATCAAAGGGTTGGGCGTTGCGTAATGGGGGGGTCATAAATGGGGGGGTGGCGAGGGTGGTCCGAAAAGGTACCCAAACGGTACCTAAACGAGCCCCCTGGGGCGCTGGAGGGGCCCGAAAGGGGCACGAAAGGAGACCTTTCCTGACCCCCCCCATTTGTGACCCCCCCATTAAGCCATGGCCAAAAGGGGGCGTGGATTAGCGACGGGTCCCGTTTTCATGAGAGATCGGGGATTGCCGCCGCCGAGCGAGGCGGCGCCGGCCGCCTTTTCGGGGGAGGGCACCTCCCCCGATCCATGGTTGCGCGCCCCCCAGCAATGGGGGGTGACCCACATGGGTGGTGAAGAAAAGCCACCAAAGGGGCCTTTAGAGGCCCTTTTGGGCACCAGCTGTCTCCAAAAGGAGCCCTCAAGGGCCCCTTTGGGGTCTTTTCTTCACCCCTCCTTTGTGTCACCCCCCCTTGCCACCCGCCCGAGCCGGCTTGCACGATCGGTGCCTGGCTCCCAGAAGTGGACAATTGGGCCGCTTTCTCTTCCGCGGGCGACCGCGTTGGCGTCTTCGAGGCGCCGCCGCTCTTCGACCCAGGGAAAAAAAGCTGCGGGGCATCGTTTCTCGGCCCTCGGGGCCGGCCAGCCCTGCACCGTACCGCGTTGGAGTGAGGTTTGAAGTCACCGAGCGCGTTGCACTGCTCACAAAGTGCCTACTCGCAAACGTCCGAAACAAAAACACATACCTGCTTCGATGTAATTCGTCGTAGACCCCCCGCAGGTGCTCCAGGCTGTTTGCGAGCAGTTATTTTGCGAGTAGTGGAACGCGCTTGTCCACTGTTGTGGATGCCATGGCAATGGACACTCTAAGCGTTCTATCAGTGAATCAAAGATGTATTTAACATGTCTTCCACATGTGTCCAACATGGTCGAAGCATGTCTGAAACACTGGTTGCCACTCCGGAAACATGTGTCAGACATTCTTGGACGTCTGGAAGCGATTCGACAATGTGCCTCCTCTCCACCTGATCGTCTCCCACACGTCTGCGGAAGGGAGCCCAAACGTGGTGCGGTGCGTGAGCGCCGTCCTCGCATCTCCTGCCCCCCAGGAGCTGCTCCTCGCGCTGTGGGGCGCCGGCGGCCTGGCGGCGCGGCTGCGCACGCCGCGCGCGGAGGTGCTGGGCTTCTTCTTCGGCGGCGAGGCGGCGGAGGTGCCCCGCCCCGGCGACTGGTTCTGCCCGAGGCTCGAAGGGCAAACTCGCCATCGAGGAAGCGTCGGGGGTGGCCAGGGGGGGGGGGATGGCCAGGCGGGGGGGGGATGTCATGGCGTGGGGCCATGATGCCTCCCCGAATGTCATGGCGCCTCGTCTTGATTCAATACGTCCCCGGCCCCCCCTCCCCCCTGGGCCGCGCACATGCCGCCGGCCATGATTTGCGCCCCCCACCCCCCTCTTGGACGCCCCCGAAAACGGGTCCTGTGGGCAATGGGTCCCGAGGTGTGTCGTCGCTTTCGGTTCCTGGGGCCCTCCAGGGGGGCGGCGACTAGGGGGTAGATCCTGGCCAGGGCCATGATGCCTCCCCAGATGTCATGGCCCTCATCTTATGTCAATGCGTTCCCGCCCCCCCTCCCCCATTGGGCCGCGCACATGCCGCCGGCCCAGCCCCAGCGACTGGTTCTGCGTGAGGCTCGACGGATAAACACAGAAGGCACAAAACATTGCATAAACATAAACTTCCGGAGCTCCGCGCGGATTTCTTGGTTCGACACTGGGCACTCCCAGATCGCACCTCCGGCGCCGCCCCTGGCGGGGTCCAGCGCCGATCCAGTTTATCGACGGACCTCTGGAAGTTTACGTCTATGTTGATGTTTGTTGCTCCTATATACATGCATGTATAAATCCCTGACTTCCTCGCGTCGTGATCATTACTCGACGCCGAGATCCCCATATGCGTCTCATTCCTTGGCACATCCCGTTGTGAGTGTCTGGCCGCTGGGATAAACAACATCCATGACTCCCTGACCTTCTCGCGTCGTGAAGATCAGTGCAATCGAAGGTTGTTTGACAACTTTCGGCCTCTGGGGATTGAGTCTCACTGCGCACCGAGGCTCGAATTATAAACTAAGAAGAAGAAGACATTGCATAAGCATGGACTTTCGGAGGTCCGCGAGGATTTCTTCGATCGGCGCTCGACCCCTCTCCTGGCGCGCGGAGCGTGCCAGGGGTGGCGCCAGAGGCGATGGGGGCGCGCCTCCTGGAACAGCGCGCGCGGGGCTTGGTTGTCTCGGCCAGCGCGCTTTGTTCTGTTATGGTATGCTGACTTTTGCGTTGATGTATGCTCTGTTCGGTCATGTTTGTTTTTGTTCGCTGTCGCGTTCTGCTGTGTTCATCTTTTTTGTCCCGCGATATGGTATGGTATACGTTGTCATGTCATGTGATACCGTGATCTGTGGTTATGCGTTATGGTATGATATGTTTGTTATCGTGGGAAGCGTAATGATATGTTCGGATATGTTGTGCTCATATATGATACGGCGTGTATTGTTATGGCCTGTGTTGCTATGCTACGTTGGATATGATCGGGCGTTTCATTGCATAAGCGTTGTGTAGTTGTGCCCTGAATTGGGTGGGTCTGACATGCTTTGTCATGATATGTGTCTTGGTATGTTGTAAAGGCTATGATATCATGTGGTCCGCCGCGCTCTGTAATGGCATGCTGTGTGCTGCTACGTCATGTTATGTGATGCGATGATGCTCTATGGTATGAGATGCTCTGCCATGATACGTACGTTATCACATGGTATGTCAGGGTTTGGTTTCGTATGCAATGCCATGCGATGTTACGAGATGTGGTGCTACGGCATGATATGAGTGCTCCATTATGGCATAGCGTATGATGTTATGATATGTTATTTTCGGATATGCTACAACATGCTATGATGGGCCCTGCCATCTTATGGTTGCCATGGTATGGAATGACCTGTGCTGTGATACGATGGTATGGTATGGTTTGTTATGTAATGGCATGGCGTGTCTTTTATATTCTGCTACGCTGATTTATTATTCGTTACGATGCGCGGTTGTATGCAATGTTGTGTATATGATACCATGTTATCGCATGCGTTTCTATACTGTGCTATGATACGGTTGGTTATGTCATGATGTGCTATTATGTGGCATGATCTCGTTTGGTAGTTACAGCTATTATGTGTTTTCTTGTGTGATGCTTGCTTTGTCATGCCAGTTAATGCTCTGTGCTGTGAGGCTGTGCTATGTAACGAGTTGTTATGTCGATTGTATTATGTTACGGTATGCGTTGTATTGATACGGTCTACTATGCATTGTTATGGTTTGTTATGTGCTGTGATGTCACGCGCTGTTCTGTATGAAACGTATGCTATGCTATGCCCTGCTGTGTTATGTTGTGGCGCGCTCTGTCATGTCATGATGTGTCATGTTATGAAATGATTTGGGTTGTGCTTTCGAAGGCGCGAGGCGGGAAACTCGGGGGATGCTCGGTAGATCTGGGGGGTTGGCGTGTCGGGAGACCTGTCATCGACCAGCATCTATCAACCCCAACTTGCCGTGTGGGGAAAGGTTCAAGGTTTTGGACAATTTTCGGCCAGCTCGGGGGGGGGGTCAGAAAACGACCGGGTTCTACCCCTGTTCGCGCACGTGCTTGGGGCCATGATGCGCTAACCCCCCCCCCTCTCTCTTCGTGCATTGCTTTGTCACAGATAGTCTTTACTATGCTGTTTGTCCAATCCGGTCGTTTTCGGCCCTTCAAAACCGTGTTCCCGCTGCAGCGTTGGCCTCATTTCCGCGTTCCTCTTCCTTCGAAGCCGTGCTCCCATTGCAGCGCTGGTCTTATTTCCACGTTTTCAGTCGTTCCGAATGGTGTTCCAGCTGCAGCGCTGGGCTCATTTTCGCGTGTCAGTTCTTCAACATGTCTCTCGCTGCAGCACCGGCCTCATCTACAAATTGCCGGCCCTCTATCATAGTTTTCTGGTTGCACCGTTCATGCAGCCATGCAGCCATGGCATGCAATTCAATTGTAGATCGGGCACCGCTAGTATGCCAGCCCATACCTCGCTCTGCAAAGTTGTAATATGAGATGTTGGGGTACGCAGTGCCATACCGTGCTATATTGTTCCGACGCATGCTATCGCATGCCGTGCAATGTTATGTTGTACGTCGCGATGCCATGCCCTGCGCTGCAATGCTACAGTCACTAAGCAATGCTTGATTTGTGCAATGTCACACCATGCTATGCCATGCTACGGTCTGCCGTGCTGTCCTACGCCATGCTCACCCTTTGGGGCCACTGCCCTCTTCGACATCCGACTGTGCGAATAGAGAGGGGGGGGCTGTACGCAACGGTAGGGGATGGGAGGGCGGGGTAGGACGTCAGGTATGATCCGAGCACACCTAGCTTGGCTAACCCCCTCTCACTGGCCCTGTTCTTCGGCACGTCCGAGTAAAGGTACTTCCGCGACCGTCCGCGTGTCTCGGGTTGGTGCTGGGGCCAGCCCTGGCGGCGCATCTGGCGCCACCCTGTGCGCTGGCGGGCCCACGAAATCCGAGCGGAGTTCCGAAAGGTCATGTCCGTGCCGGTTTTCCCCCCCTCCAAGAGGTGCTCGCGCCGGAACATGGGCACCCGCTTCTTCTCGGCGGCGGCAACCGGGGGCGAGCAGCCCAGGGGGGGTCATGGCACGTATCCCCCGGGGCCGCGATCGCCCCTGTCTCCGACGAGGCTCCCGGGCGAGCACGCGTAATTCGGAAAAGAAAATCTGCACAAACGAGATGGGCACGGAAAGAATGGGTACAATGCTCAGCAGCAGTTCCTGCACATTCTGAGCAGGACTCGTTGTCCGCGCCGCCGCGGCCTGTGTCCGTTTGAGACAGAAGGACAGTGGCCGCTGTTGGTTTGGGACAACATTTGTTGTTGGGCACTGTGCCCATTTTTTCCGTACCCACTTCGGGCGTCCAAAGAAAAACACACATGAACATAAAGTTGTTGGCGCTCCGCGCGGTTTTCTTGGATCCGCGCTGGGAGCCCCCTGGCGGCGCCTCCAGCGCCGCCCCTGGCGCGCTACGTGTGCCAGGGAGGGGGGCACAGCGCGGATCCAAGAAATCTGCGCGGAGCGCCGAATGTGTATGCTTATGTTGTTGTTTCTTCTTATAGTACTGGCCGCCCCATGAGTTGTCCGTTCCTTTTGCCCCCGCCGATCTTCTGCGGCTGCACCGGCGAGCCCGCTGCCGACGCGTCGGTGGCGGCGCCCGGGGTCCCGAGGGTGCCGGGGGGGCGGAGCTACCCGCAGGGCGGCGACTGGGGCTGCGGGGGCTGCGGATCCGCCCTGTTCGGGTACCAGCACACGTGCCCGAAGTGCAAGGTGGGGAAGGATCCTGGCGGCGCGCCCCGGGGCGCGCTCCAGGAAGGCCCTCGACTTCGGCGCGCCCTCTGCGGAAGCCGGCAGAAGGCCTTCGGAAGCCGGCCGACGTAGAAGGGGGTGGCTCCGCTGGCGGAAGACAGCGGATGCAGATATTGTGTGTGTCAACCTTTTCTGGTTCCAGATGTTCTGCGCCAGCCATTGGTAGAGTGGCAAAACACATCGTAAGCATATTTTTTCGGAACTCCGTGCGGATCTCTTGGGTCGGTGCTGACCTGGCCCTCCCATGTCGTGCGGAGCGCACCAGGGGCTG